GGACAGCCACTCACAGCTGCTATTGGCAGCTCACACTGGCTGCTGGCCACTCATGCCGGCTGCCAGCCACTCACGGTAGCTTATGGCAGCCCACTGCAGCAGGGGCTGCAGCCTACACCGTTGCTGGCAACTCACGGCAGCCCAGCTCCAGGTCGAGCTGTTGTTCACCATCTTAACTGTAGAGGGCAGCGTCACTGGCCCTCATATGTGGGATCTGAACCGGGGCCTGCTGCTCAGAGCTGGCGTCCTAAGCCAGCTCTTAACCAGCGTGCCACTCGGCCGGCCCCATTTGTCTCATTCTTGAATTCTTTCTCACACAAAGAACCTGGTTTCCATTCCAGGTTGATTCCATTCTGGGACATCCCTTTGGTGTCACCGCTACTCAGGATACAATTTCATTATTGCAAAGTCAGAATCTGATTTGTCAGAGCATGGGTATTGCTCTAGGCAGACTGATATTGAGTTCACAAAAAAATATGCTACAATTAGAATGCTGGCTTATTATTTTATAGGGAAATTTATTTTTAGAAAAGATCGACCATTCACATTCTCTAATCACTGCATTCTCTTCCAGGATACAAACTGTCTATCCGGTTGTTTAATTAGCCCAGACTCCTACGAAGAGTTGTTAACAATAAATGATTCCAGCATGCAATGGCATCAGGCTAAGACAGTCTCCCCAATGTCCAAATTAATGTACAGATTCAATGCAATCCCAATCAAAATACCAGAATTGGCAAGCAGATTCTAAAGTTTAAATGGAGATACAAAGGTTCTAGAATAGCCAAAACAATGTTAGGGTAAAAAAAGAACAAATTTACATTACCTAATTTTAACAATTATTATAACAATTTTACAATTACTATAAAGCCACAGTAATCAAGGAAGTGTCACATTGGTGTAAAGATAGACATAAAGATCAAAAGAACAGAATAGAGAACCCAGAAATAGACCCTTGTATATAGTCAATTTTCAATGAAGGTGTCAAGGAAATCAATGAGGTAAGGATAGTCTTTTCAAGAAATGGCGCTATATTCATTGCATACTCACATGCCAAAAAAAAAAAGTGAACTGTGACTTTTACTTCACACTATATACAATTAACTCAAAATGGACTATAGACCTGAGGTAAATCTAAAACTTCTAGAGGAAAACATTGGAGCAGTCTTTCATGTGGGGGCTGGTCTATGTAGTATATGATATTAAGTGCATCCCATACCACATAGTAAAATGTTAATTATTGCATGAAATTTGACTCCTACCTCACACAACACAAATCAGTTTCAGGGGGAATTGTACTTCTGTGTAAAAAAAGTAAAACAATAAAGTTGTTTAAGAGTTAGGAGACCTGGAGTCAAGACTCAGTTTCTTCAGTAGCTCCGTGTAATCTCTGTTCATTTTTCAAAATAAGGAATTGGACCAGGTGATTTTTAAATTCCTTCATAGGTCTTAAATTCACATTTCAAAATCTGTATTCATTCTTTTCCATACAGGCTAGAAACATAGCCTAAGGAAATAATAAAACAAGTTTGCAAAAATACACGTTAATTGCAAAATTGGCTGCACCCTAAATATACACCGTCAGAGACTAAATATATAATGGTCCCTCCATGCAATGGAATACTAGGGAGTCATTAAAAAGAAGGAACTAGATCTTTATATTTTGATATAGAAAGATGTCCAGAATAAACTGCTATATTGTTTCTTTTTATAAAGCAGGTTATAGAATAGTAAAAGGTACAAATAATAAGATCCACTTTATGTAAAAAAAATTTTTTTTTCAATAAATATTTCTTGATCACCTATTATATACAAGAAGTCACTGGGCTGAACACTTGGGGAAACTACACTGAAGTAAACAGATATTTTAGTGGGGAACTCGGACAAAAAATAAAACAAATATACATATGAGTATTGAGGCCATGGAGAAAAAAAAAGAGTTGGAGGGTGACAGTAGAGGTTCCTGTTTTAGTTAGGGTGGTTGAAGAAGGCCTCTCTAAGAGAGCATTTAATCAGAAACCGGAATCACATGACAACAACCTGTGCAAAGAATAGGGTGTGTAGGGTGTTGGAAAAGTGCGCCAGGCAGAGGGAACAGGACCGGCTAAGGCCTAGAGCCAGGAAAGAACGAAGGGTGCCAGAGAAACAACAGCGTGAGCTGGGTCACCGCGGCTGCAGAGCGGCACAAACGTGGGCCTGCGGCCGTTTGCCACGCTGAGGACGCGGGCCTTATTGTGTGGAGGGAAGCCCCTGGAAGGTCTGAGCAGGGCAGTGGCCTCAGATACTGGCTTCTCGGGGAGCTCCATGTAGAGCAGATCGCGCAGAAGCAAGAATGGAAGCCCGACGTGGGGCACCCAGGTGTGGTGGTGAGGCCAAGAGAGGAATCCCCGATGGCTGCTGTCCGTGCACAAACGTTATGTTTGCACAAAGCCAAGTTTGGAATAAAACGCGCCAAAGCACGAGAGAGAAGCAGGGGATTCATCTTCCCTGAATAATTCAAGTGAGTAGTTTGCCGTGACGAGGCCATACGGGTCAGTCTTGCCCCGGCGTCCCAGCGAGAACCCACGGGACGCCGAGGGCGCAGCTGCCCCCTCGCGGGGGCGCCAGAGACGCGCCCGCCCCCGGACCTTCCCGCCGCCCCGCCGGAAGTGCTCTTCTGACCCGGCGCGCCGCGCGGCGCCGCGGGAAGATGGCGCAGGAAGCCGGGGATATGGAAGATGGGCAGCTTTCCGATTCGGATTCCGACATGACGGTCACGCCTAGCGACATGCCGCTGCAGGTGCTGGTGAACGTGAAGGGCGGGCGGATGGTTCTGGGCCCGGCACGGAGCCGGGGCCGCAGTGGCGGCGCTGGCGGCGGCGGCGGCAGCGGGCTGTGCATCTCCCGGCGAGGAGGGGCCCCCGAGGCTTGCGGCCTCCTGGAGGCGGCGTGCGGCGGTTTTTTTCCGCCTTCCACGCGCCGCTCTGCCGAGCTCCCCACTCCTGCGCCGCTGGGTTGTCCCGGAGCGCAGATTTTGCCGAACATGTAGTAACTGGGGATGTCGGCCCGAAGCAGCTTATGGAGCTCATTTTCAACCTGAGCAGATAGGAGACTGAACCAAAAATGAAGTTCATTATCTGCTCGGAGGCCTGCTCTGACGTTTTCCCATCGGACCTAGCTTTGTCATGCGGTAATGCGGCACAAGGTTTTGGATTAGCGTCCCAGTTTTCCAAATGGGAGTTTGTCTTGACCCCCGTACTGAGCAGCAAACTCTCAGGGCTTTGGTGCCAGGCTGCCCGCTTCGAATCCCGGCGCCGCCACTGTGTGACCTGTGCCAGGATATTTAGCCTGGTGCCCCCATCTGTAGACTGAAGATGATAATAATAGTGTGTCACGGTAGGGTGGTTGTAAGGATTCAGTGGAGCAAGCAGCCTGAAAAATGTTAGCTGCCATTATTGTTCAAAGATAGGAAGACTCTTATTGACTGAAGTCATCCCCACCTCCATTTCTAGCTCAACACTTACTTGCTTTAGTGTTTAGTACAAAAAAGCAAAGGTGATTCTTTTGCATGTAAATGTCTTAGGAAATTGATACCAAGGTATTTTCATTTTTAATCTCTTTCAGGTTGTTTTACATAGATCCATGACTTGGTAAACTTAGTGTCATGGACTCTGCAGTTTTAAAAGTAGTAGTATGTCAGGGATTCCTACCCATAGTTTACTATCTAATCTAAAAAGAGTATAGTCTCAAAACCGTGCAAAAGAAGTTGATGTGTCCAAATGCATGAAAGGCGTCTTTGGAAAGAAAAAGCAAATTCTGTTTTAACTGTTAGTGACAATTATTGTATATTGTCATTTTCAAACATTCTGACAACTGAAAAGACTGAAAATATCCTAAAAGCAAGAATTAAAAGCTTTGGTAATTTTTTAGAAGGAGGCGTAAGAGCTAAGTTCTTATCTATAGAAATAAGTTTGTGCCTTTAAAATTGGAAATTCCATGTGGACCTTTAGAAAAGTAGGGACTGAATTGGGGTCAGAGATGTCTTTGAAGAGCAGTTCTGCCTCAAAATTGTCCAGCTGAATCCCTAAATAACTTTTTAAAAAGATTTTATTGGGGAATTGGGGGAGGGGAACAGACAAGTTGCTGTCCTTTTGTTCTTCAGTGTAGTTGTGGAGGATGTTGCTTCACAGGCACATGTTGGTGTTATCATTGCGCTTCTCCCGGGTGAGGTAGTCGCTCCCCGGCCACTTCACGGGGGCTGTCAGCAGCTCATGAAAACAAACGCCAGCTGCCGGCCAGCCCTACAGCAGCCTACACCGTCAGCGACTCAAGGAAGCCCAGCTCCAGGTAGAGCTGTTGTTCACCATCTTAGCTGTAGAGGGTGCAGCGTCACTGGCCGTCATGTGGGATCCGAACCGGAGCTTTGCTGCTCAGAGCTGGCATCCCAAGCCAACTCCTAACCAACACGCCACTCCGCCGGCCCAATATTTTTTTGTTTTTAAATAGCACTTGGTGGGTGGAGTTAATGTGTTTTGTGGAATTGATTTCTTTTCTTTGACTTGCAGAAAGCACTAGGTGGGGACAGTGCAGCGAGGTCCTTCCAGGGTACTACAGCAGCCTGTGCACCGGTGTCATATTATCGGACTGTTAAAGGTGTGGATTCAAGTGAAGAGAGCTTTTCTGATTCAGATGATGATAGCTCTCTTTGGAAACGCAAGCGGCAGAAATGTTTTAACCCCCCTCCCAAACCAGAGCCCTTTCAGTTTGGCCAGAGCAGCCAGAAATTGCCTCTTGCTGGAGGGAAGAAGGTTAACAACATATGGGGTGCTGTGCTGCAGGAGCAGAGTCAAGATGCAGTGGCCACTGAACTTGGTATCTTGGAAATGGAAGGCACTATTGACAAAAGCAGACAATCCGAGACCTACAATTATTTGCTTGCTAAGAAACTTAAGAAAGAATCTGAAGAACATTCGAAAGAATTAGACAAAGAGCTAGATGAATATATGCGTGATGGCAAGAAAACCTCAAAGGAAGAGGAAAATGGGCAAGGTCATCTGAAACGGAAACGACCTGTCAAAGACAGACTAGGGGACAGATTAGAAATGAACTATAAAGGCCGTTACGAGATCACAGAGGATGATTCTCAGGAGAAAGTGGCTGATGAAATTTCTTTCAGGTGAGCATTTTAAGTTTTTCCTACAAATGAGCACTTGACCAACTATCTTCCATATATAGGAAATAAAACAGATTTCAAATACATGAATGCTGATGTTCCCTTTTAAGATTTTTAAAAAATTTGTGGAACGAGCTTTTGCAGACTTCTGTGAACTTTTAACAACTCCATTTAGTGCTATAGAGCTCTTTTGATAAAAACTTATCTTTTTTTTTTTTTAAGATTTTTATTGGGGAATTGGGGGAATGGGAACAGTGGTGGGGAATTGAGGGAAGGGGAACAGACAAGTTGCTGTCCTTTTGTTCTTCAGTCTAATTGTGGAGGACGTTGCTTCACTGGCCCAAGTTGGCACCATCATTGCGCTCTTCCTGGGTGAGGCAGATCAGTCGCTGGCTTCTGGACGGCCACTCACTGCGGCTGCTGGCCGCTCACGCTGGCTGCTGGCTACACACGGTAGCCCATGGCAACCCACTGCCACAGGGGCTGCAGCCTACGCCGTCGCTGGCGACTCACGGCAGCCCAGCTCCAGGTTGAGCTGTTGTTCAGCATCTTAGCTGTGGAGGGCAGTGTCACTGGCCCTCATATGTGGGATCCGAACCGGGGCCCTCTGGCGTCCTAAGCCAGTTCTTAACCATCGCGCCACTCAGCCGGCCCGAAACCTATCTTTTTAAGATGGTTTTTTTTTTAGTGTTTTCAAGCATTCATGGCTTTTTGTTAACTTCAGTGAGGCATATTGTACATATGATAAAATTCACCCATTTCAGGTGTTGATTTGTTTGGTAAATTTGTCAGTTCTACAACTATCACCATAAACCACTTTTAAAACATTTCCATCACCACAATAAGATCCCTCATATGCCCATTTAAAATTAACCCCTAGGCTGCAGCGAGCAGAGCTGCGGGTCAGGCGGCCAAAGCTTTACAGCTCTTTATAAAAATGATGCCAGAGCATTAGAAGCAGCCAGAACAAAGATAACTGGAGAATTCAAAAGTAATAAAAGTGGAGCTTCTCCTAAGTAAATAGAAAAGCTAATAAAAATAGGTTCTGATGTTGAATTGTTACTCACAATATCTGTTATACAAGGTATTCACACAGACCACAATACACTGAAATTGGCGTCTAGGAAAGACCTTGTAGAAAATGTGCCATATTGCGATGCACTAACTCAGAAGCAGTGCATTTTCTAGGATAAAATCAAGTCTTTGTTATTTTTAATTTTAAAATATATTAACTCTGGCAAAAGTCCTGGAAATGTAGATACTTTTCTCAGAATAGGCAAAAAATAAATGAATAAAGTTAACCACTGTTCCCATACCCAGATAACTGCTAATCTACTTGCTGTAGGCATCAACTTGCATTTTCTGGTTTATATTAATGGAATTATTCAAAGTGTGGGCTCTGTCCTGGCGTCTTTTACTTAGTATGATATTTTTGAGATTCATGCATGTTGTAAAAAGAATCAATACTTGATTTATTTATTATACACACACATCTATCTATACATGTATCCATATTGAATTTCACCTTTTGGCTGTTCTGAATAATGTTGTGAACTTTAGTTTGGACATGTAATTTCATTTCTCGGGTAAATACTTAAGAGTAGAATTGCTTGATATACAGTAAATTTACATTTTATATATTTTTAACAAGTTCAGATTTTGTTTAACTTGTCATTAGCTCTAAATCAGTAAAGAACAGTGTCACAAATTTGAAAACAAGTATGGTCAGGAGTAATATAGCTGGTAGTTAAACTAGCATTTACTTGCAAGCCTGTCAACACTAGTACTTTTAAAATACTCAGATTTTTTTTTAAAAAAATGCTTTTTAAAATACTCAGATTTTTAAAATACTGAGGAAGTTTGGAATTTGAGTGCTGGAAAGGAACATAGAGATTTTGTAAGCCAAAGTCTCACTTTACAGATATGGAAACTGAGGCTTAATAGTTGTATGGCTTGCCCAAGGTCACAAATGTAATAAGTGTCAGACCTGGAACTAAAAAGTCTGGTCCCTTTCTTCCTAGTCGCGTGCTTTTTGCACTGCCTCCTATTGAGAAGCTGATCTAGTTAGGGAACTGGTAAGATTTCTGTGATATGAATCCTCTGTCATCTCTGTGGAATGTGGGCTCTGACATTACAGGTCTTACTTAGGCTCCCTGTGTGTTTACCTCTCAGTGGTAAAATGAAAATAATACTTCATAAGATTGTTGAGAGAATTAACTGAGATAATGCATATAAAGTTCTTAGGATTGTGCTTATCCTATAATAAGCCATCAGTAAATGTGAGCTATCTCCTTTATTCTGAAGTAGGGAACCTGTGAGGGAAAAATCCTATCCATTTTAAAGCTCCCAGACATCTCTGAAGTTAGGAGAGCTAACTTGTAGGCATAATAATTGAAAGCATAGTATATGTTTGTTATTGTTTTGACAGGAGTGGACTGGTTTTATCTTTTGCTTTTAAGCTCCTTCCCCTTGGTTTATGTGCACATTTCTTTTAAAATCCACTGTAATCCAATAAAGCAAAGTGAAGAGGCTGTTATGAGACTTGAGATGGAACCTTGAGGTGATTATCTATCTCCTTGGGTGACTCAAGATGGGAATGTTTCCATGTCACTGATTTCAAGGTTAAATACTGAAGATTTTGAAAAGCATATATTATTAAAATAGGATTTTAATTCTAGTTGAGGACTAAACTGGAGACTAGGTAGGTTTCTTTAACTTTATACAACAAATGAAGAAGTTAACAAATTATTTGTTCTTTATCAGGTTGCAGGAACCAAAGAAAGATCTGATAGCCCGAGTAGTGAGTATAATTGGGAACAAAAAGGCAATTGAACTTCTGATGGAAACTGCTGAAGTTGAACAAAATGGTGGCCTTTTTATAATGGTAAGACTAACAGCTTCATTGTTTTTATTTTGAATTGTTTCATGTGATTTTTTGAAAAGTAAACTTGTCTTTGATTGTTGGATCATAAATTTATCATAGATTATTACAGTTTTTCAGGTTTTTAAAGACATTAACAGTGAAGACAATAAAAAAATTAAGTATCATGAGTTTTACAAAAACAAGCATAAATTGTAGCCTCTTGGTGTGCACTCAATAACACATCTCTTATAGACTTCATTAAGGGTAGGGGCTGAAATTTTAAGAAAAAAGTCAGGGGAACCTGGAATTTTGAGAATATGGGTTTTGGAGTTTGGGGTGCCTTGTTTTGAGCTCTGTATGTGCACCTTATTAGGTGTGGGACTGCACTTCTTGGAGCCTCAGTCTCCTCAGCTGTAAAATGGGTGTTAATCCGATGTTTTTAAGGATTAGATGAGATGATGCATATAAAGTGCTTATCACAGTGCCCAGTACTTAGCTCTGGTGAACAGATGTGTTACAATGAATTCATGCATTCTTAAAAATTGGTTCTTGTGGACAAAAAAAAAAACTTGTTATGTAGTATATCCATGAGTATTAAAATGTCATGGGTAATGGGGGTGAAGAGGGAAAAAAATGTCTAAAAGGTTGCTGGGGTGGACGAAGCAATAATGGAAAACAAGTTTGAAGAACACGTTACTATTTAGAATGGCAGAAGGAGCATCCCTCCAGCGGGGCCAGATCACAGGCTGTGGCAGTTTATCTCATAGAATGGTTTTGCAGATCACATTTACTTCAGCTCTCACCACAGGGTGAGGATGAAGATTGAATGGCTTCCTTACTTGCTCCTCAGCAATCTGAATAGTCACATCACACGAGAGTAAATATTATGCTGTGGAAACCATTTAGAATTGATAGCATTGTCTGAGGAAACAGCCTGTGAATGTCCATTACAGAAGTCAAAACCAAAACAAATTACAATCATGAGTGTACTGGCGCCCCTGTTTGAGTCTCGGTTCAGGTACTTTGATTTTCATTTAGTTGAACACAAAGTTATAGGCTCATTAATATTTTAATACTGTAGTAATATAATAAAATTATATTCCAGTGAGTGCATGCAAATCTACTAAATGTTGGTAAGATTTAAGTCCAAATTCACTTTTCTTTTAATGCATTCTTTCCTTGTACAAGTATTTTTTTTTCTGTGTGCCAGACACTGTTTTAGACTCAAGCTTATGTTGTAGTGGGGGTGGGAGGGAGACTGTCTATCAAGAGTAAATGTAACATCTTCAAGTATATTAGAAAGTGATATGGGAAAAGAAATAGATCAAATGTAGAGAGGCGAGGAGGGCATTGCAGTAAGCTAGGGTGGTCAAGGGGAGACCTTATTATTGCCTTAGGCACATCTGTTTAAAAGACGCTTTGGCTTATTCATGGCAAGAGTCGCTAGAGAATATTTTTTCTGTTCCTTTTGTAGAATGGTAGTCGAAGAAGAACACCAGGTGGAGTTTTCCTGAATCTCCTGAAAAATACTCCTAGTATCAGCGAGGAACAAATTAAGGTAAAAAAAATAACGTCCTTGACTTTGAAGATCTATAATAATTTGACTTCCACTCAGCCTCTAGCTTCATTTTCTACTAATCTCCATCACCTGCTCTGCCTTAAATTGACCAATTTTATCATTGTCTCTTTTGAAGTAAAACGTGTGCCTTTTGTAAAGCTCTGCCTCCTCTTTTTCTTCCCTTTCAGAGCCAAGATCAAGATTTCTTTTATGGCAACTTTTCCTGGTTTCTTTGCACGTAATTATTTGTTCTACCCTCCTACAACTTTTTATTCATGAAAAATTTCAACAATGCAGCATAGATGAAGGAATACTCATATACCCTCCAGCTATATTCAGGGGTTGTTGATAGTTTGACATTCTTATTTTACCTACACAATTTTTTTGGGTACCATTTGGAAAAAAAATAATGTCATGACACTCAGCCCTAATTATTTCAACAAGCATCTCAATAGTAAAGATAATATTCTACATAGCCACACCTAAGAGAAATAAAAACAATTTAATAATATCATCTAATTTCTAGCTCTTACTCCAATTTCCTCAAGAATATATTTTCTACCTTTTATTCTCCTAAACCAGGATCCTGTCTAGATTTTCATGTTCCATTTGTTATATCTTTTTTGATCTTTTTAACCCTACATTTTCCTCCATGCATCTGCTTAGTGTTGTTTTTTTCCCCCTTAAGTTTTCTGGCTGTTCACTTCCAGTTACTTTTAAAAAATCTGGTACTAGAAATGTTACTGTTTTTGCACATGTGAAATGTCTAGTCAACAACCGCTTTTTTTTCTCATTAGAACAATTATTTTGATGACATAAATTTTCCTTAGGAACAGAACTCTTGAGTGGTAGAACAGAACTTACACCTTAATGTTCTCTCACCTCTCCCACTGTAATCCCTGACAAAAAGCATGTACTTAGAAGGAACATTCTTCTTGGATTTTGTTTGTTTGCACAATGTTACTCTTTTTCAGACAAATAGCATGATGTAATGAAAATGCTCTAAGATTCAAAATCTGGGTTTTAATCTGAAATTTGCCATTGAGTGGCTGTATGACCATGAGCACATCACTTGTTGTCCCTCGGCCTCAATTCTCTCACCTATAAAGTAGGGACTTTAATATGTGCCCTGCCTATTTAATAGTGTTAGAAAAGGATTACATAAAATATATACAAAAGCTTGTAAGTAAAACCTGGATGAACAATTTTCAGAAGCAAAAGAGAAGAAAACAGCTATTCATCATGAGTCTGGCACTGGGTCACATGTTTATATGACTTAATCTTCACCACAGTCTATCAGTGGGTTTTACTCTGCTGTACACATGAAGAGCAATCACAGTGACATGCCTGGGGTCACACAGAACACTGACTTGGAACCCGGGTTGTTTTCACTGACTCACGTGTCTCTGAAACTCAGCTCTTCTAACTCATTGTGGAGAAGGGGATATTAATGTTAGGTTTTTATGTGAAACTACAGAAACATTGCATTATAAATAACACACAATGGAAACATTTGGAATAACTAATAGGGGAATGTTGATTTATAAGGACATTCTTAAAAGAAATATCTGGTAACCTCTATTTTTGTGAGGCAGTTTTAAGGTAATGAGAAAATGCAGTAATACTGAATTTTTTAAAAAGGCAAACTACAAATTTATAAAGAAAAAGAGGCATGGGACAATATATTGAAATGTAAAACACCATAATGTTACCAATGATTTGGTCTGTTGTCAGGGATTATAAATGTTTTGGCTTTAAGGTTTTTCTGTGTTTTTCCAAATTTTCTATATGTGCATGGATTGAGTATCTTTGTTGTTAGAGGGGGAAAAAACTGAAGGCAAATAGAATTTTATTGTAAATTTCATGTGCCATCCAAATGATAAAGTTATAATTATTCTTTAATCGCTCTAGTGCTAACCATCACAGCTTGCAGCGCTTAGAAGCCAGACTGAACTGGGCTTGTTGCCCTTTTTTCGTTTGATTTTGTTTTGTATGTGACCTTGTACTGTTAATTTTTGTTTTAGAAAATATGAAGTTTGTGAAAAAAGAGAGTGAGAATTCTTCTCAATTATCTCTTGCCTAGATTTGTTGTAACAACTTTAACATGTTACATTTTGTTGGGCCATCCCCTAATTTGTTCTATTTAAATTCATAACCCCTGGGAATGACTTTTTTTTTTTTTTTAAGATTTTATTGGGGAATTGGGGGAGGGGAACAGTGTTGGGGAGTCGGGGAACAGGAACAGACAAGTTGCTGTCCTTTTCTTCAGTCTAGTTGTGAAGGACGTTGCTTCACTGGCCCATGTTGGTATTATCATTGCGCTCTTCCTGGGTGAGGGAAATCAGTCGCCAGTCTCTGGATGGCCACTCACCGCAGCTCTTGGCAGCTCACGCCAGCTGCTGGGCCACTCATGCTGGCTGCCGGCCACACACGGTAGCTTATGGCAGCCCACTGCAGCAGGGGCTGCAGCCTACGCCATCGCCGGCGACTCATGGCAGCCCAGCTCCAGGTTGAGCTGTTGTTCACCATCTTAGCTGTAGAGGGCAGTGTCACTGGCCCTCATGTGGGATCCGAACCGGGGCCCTGCTGCTCATAGCTGGTGTCCCAAACTAGCTCTTAACCAATGCACCACTCGGCCGGCGCATGACTTTCTTTTTAATAAGGCTTGCCATATTTGGAGTGATTTATATTGCTTCCACATAAAATGAAAATACTTCTACTTGTAGCTTCTTTCTGTCTGTCCAATGGAAGGTTAGTAGACACTTGAAAAAATTATCACACTTTTGTGAAGGTAACATGATAAGGCTTAAGAATATGGATTTGGAGAAATCATATGAGTTTACACTTTATACCTTCACATGTTAGCTGTGTATAATCTTGTGCCTCACTTTCCTCACCTGAAAACAAGGATAATACCCACCTTGTAAGGTTCATGTAAAAACAAGAAGAGTTAACATATATAAAGTTCTTAGCATAATGCCTGGCTCATAAAAGTGTTCATTCAGTAAATGGTAGCTAGACTCATTTTCTTCTGAATTCACCTTTTTTTGTCCTTCCAGAACTTTTCTGTCACGTAGGTATCCTCCTTCATCCCCAGTCCTTCCTCATTTCTTTAGCAAATACTTTTTTTTTTTGTGGAGGGCAGTGTCACTGGCCCTCACATGTGGGATCCGAACCGGGGCCCTCTGGCGTCCCAAGCCAGCTCCCAACCATCGTGCCACTCGCCTGGCCCTTTAGCAAATACTTTTATTCTTCCTCTTCATCAGAGCACTCATATTCTGAAACTTTCCCTTATCCCCTTAATTTCAGGGTTTCTTACTCCTTCCTCTGCTAATTCTGTGTGCTGCTTACAACTATTTAGCATAGATTTTAGAAAGAGAGGGCCCCCTTTATGTCACCACCACAGTGCTATTTATAAATAAGGGATTTGTGCTTTGTTTAAAAATATATATTTAAAAATATATTTTTTAAATTTAAAATTATATTTAAAAATATAATAGGGATTGGCTTGGCTACAGCTTTTTAGAGTCTCTTCCCAGAAGGTAAGAAGATAATAGGGTGTCAGTGCGTCCTGCCTATACTAGCTTCTGTTTCAAACCTTTGAACTTTCTCTGTCTTAGCGTAGTCATTCTGGCCTTCTCTTTAGATCCCTGACCTCCTTTTTTTTTTTTTTTTTTGTACCCTCTGAAATGACATCTGTCTGTATCAAGGTTCCCAGATGTTATTTTATGTTTTCCATTTTCATGGGAATGTATTTTCTGCTTGCACCATTCTCATCTACTGGTGATTTTGTCTCTCAGAGGACATTCGGCAATGTCTGGAGATATTTTTGGCTGTCATAATTTGGGGGTGGAGTGAGTATGTGCTAGTGGGTAGAGGTCAGGTATGCTGCTAAAGATCCTACCGTATACACAGCAGACGGCCACAACAAAGATTATCCAGCTCAAAATTTGAGTAGTGCCCAGGTTGAGAAACCCTGTACTAAAAGAATTTATACTTGCATGCTGGAGAATCCCTTTTCTGGACTCCTGGAATGTATTCCAGTGCTGACTATATAATTGTTATGCCTTATGATAAAAGTTTTTGACAGATTCACATTGTCACACATGAATGACAGTAATGTTTTTTAGGGGGTGGAATTTTTCTTGCATTGTGTAAGTTACATGATCGGACTGAGTCACACAATTCAGGCATGGCTCCTTGTCTTCGTGTGTGCAATCGCATATGGTTATGATGGCATTTCAATGTAAACCTTTATTTCAAAGACTTCTGTTTTGTTGTGATAAGTTACATTTCATTTAAATCCTAAACGTTTTCCTACTGTATCTTTCCATTCAGAAAACCTTGATCTATAGAGATGGTGTGTGATGGTAGAAAACCCATGAGCCCTGCATCTAACACTAGGTTGAGTTTGAATCATAGCTTCCTTCTCTACTTGCAGTGGGGAATTATTTCATGTCTTGGATTCTGTGTATAATTCTGAGTCTAATAATATTTGCTTGTTTTTTTTGTGGAAAATGGAGATAATGGTTAATAATAAAGGGTCTGCCTTGTAAGAATTTTTAAAAAATGGTAGTTCTTATTTACTAAAGTTGTTCCTTTATTACAGGATATTTTCTACATTGAAAATCAAAAGGAATATGAAAATAAAAAAGCTGCTAGGAAGAGGAGAACACAAGTGTTGGGGAAAAAGATGAAACAAGCTATTAAAAGTCTAAATTTTCAAGAAGATGACGATACATCACGAGAAACTTTTGCGAGTGACACGAACGAGGCCCTGGCCTCTCTTGATGAGTCGCAGGAAGGACACGGAGAGACAAAGCTGGATGCAGACGAAGCCATTGAGGTCGATCATTCTCATGAGTTGGACATTTTTTAGTACATTTTGAGGACTAAACCTTTAAAATAACATTGTAATAAACCATTTCTACTGAGATTACTTCGTTTTACTTTGCACTGATAAACATGGACATTTGGAAAGAACTTTTCTTGTTTTAAATGAAACTGAATAGGGAGATGAATGTGATTGATATAAACGTTTAAAACTTTCTCATGTCTGACGAAATACTTAAAAGCATATAGCAGAAAATTTAATTTCTCAATCTGTTGCATGTGCTAATTATTACTAGTTGATAATCAGTTTTGTCCAGGTCATAGCATGCCATTCAAAAGTTTGTTTTCTTTTTCTGATTTATCTTTGCAGTGAATTCTGACTGGTTTCAAAACATTCCATTAAAAGAGCCTAATAAGACACGTAAACTGTTAAGCTGTTACAAAATGCATTCAAATTTAGTTTGTGTTCTAAGAACTCTTAGGCAACTTTAAGGATAGCCATTAAAATTCAAATAGGTTTATACTGATGGATCTTTCTATTTATTTGCTTGTCTAGAAGTAAATAACAGAAGCTTTTCAGAGGTATTGATTCATAACTTGAACTTTGTTGTTGACCTCTTCTTAACTCAGTCATACACTAAATACTAAATGTGATCCTTACCTCTGTTAACATGGACATTTAAATTTTTTTCAGTGGTGGCCTGCCTAAGACTATTTTACCTTATGTTAAGGAAGTTAGGTATTAATGTCATATCTGCATGATTTTTCAAATTATTCATTTTTATTGAAAGAAGCCTTTCTAAAGGCAGGTTACTTAAGATATTCCAAGAGTTGACTATAGTTTACAAAATAGATTAAGCAAAAATATGTAGGAAGCAATTACAAACTACTTACAGATACTGTACTTGAACTCTTTCAGTAGTTCCTGAAATGCATGATCATTGAATTGGGATTTAAGGATCTAAGAAGAAAATAGTATTGATTGCTTTTTATTAAAGAATGCAAAAATAAAAGCGATTTGGCAGTCCTTAATGAGTTACGAGTGAATTTATTTTTTATCTCAAAATATTCTTTTTTAAGATTCCTGTAACCAGGGAAAGAAAACGATTTTAAATAGGTAACTGGATACCCTGAGATTATGAGGTGATTGTAAAGATATAGTACATTAGGAAAGGTACTCATGCAGAAATCTAAATGCCACATATTCATGTAAATGTTAATTTTTCTAGTGAAAGTTACGGGTTGTTTTGGGGGGGAAGGGAACAGCACTGGGGAATCGGGGGAAGGGGAACACACAAGTTGCTGTCCCTTTGTTCCTCAGTCTTAGCTGTGGAGGACGGCTCTTCACTGGCTCATGTTGGTATTGTGATCATTGCGCTCTTCCCAGGTGAGGCAGATCGGTCGCCGGCATCTGGACAGCCGCTCACGGCGGCTCTTGGCAGCTCACATCAGTGCCGGCCGCACCCGTTGGCTGCCAGCTGTTCATGGTAGCTTATGGCAGCCCACTGCAGCCTACGCCATCGCCGGCAACTCACAGCAGCCCAGCTCCAGGTCAAGCTGTTGTTCATCATCTTAGCTGTAGAGGGCGCAGTGTCACTGGTCCTCATATGTGGGATCTGAACCAGGGCCCTGCTGGCATCCCAAGCCAGCTCTTAACCAATGCGCCACTAGGCCGGCCCTGAAGTTATGGTTTTTAAAGGACATTCATGCCTGAGGCTACTTCATCCTATTAAATGGATTGTTCCTCCCCCACAAACTTCCTGGTCCGTTTTTATCACTGGTTGTTTCCTTTACATTTGGAAACCACAGATTTCTGGCTTGTGTGGCATCCTAATATTATATATAGAAATCAACACTTCAATTTTTAAGGTTCTTCAAAAGTTTTTTCCATTAAAAATACTATTCACCAAACTTCTCTAAGTATTAAAATTGATGCATTGGTATCCAAACTTGCCAGGTATGTTATTCAGCTAATACTCTAAACAGCCTAGCATTTTTCTTAGCCTAGCATGTTTCCTGTTTGATGGCTAGTAGGATTGACAACCCTCCACCTCTCTGTCCTAATAATTTAGGTGTTCATCCCCACGTGTCACCTTTCTTAAAATGTTTTTGTAATCTAAAATACTCTGCAATATAACTCAACTATTAGAGGGTAAAATGGGTTGAATTTACTTGGATTTAAGCAAATTTGATTTACACTCTAATGGTGAAACTAATAGGACACATCAATCGTGCAGTATAAGAAGAAAATAAGGGGAAATAACAAATGTTACGATGAAGTGATTATTTGTGAACAATTGTTTAGTTCAATATATCTTCTATATTTGTCAGATTTGTAGTATGTCTGCAAGCATGCTCATTTTTAAGTTGTTCATGGTAAGAATGATAATGTTTACTCAAGAAGGGTTATAAAAGCCCGCCCCTGCCCGGCTTTAACTCCCGCGCCCTATTTGGTCTTTGAGGGGCGGGCGGTGGGAGGGGACACGGAACGGGCTTCGTGCAAATCACGGCCGCACTCGCTGGCGCCACCACCACCTCGGTGGTGTGGGGACTCATGAGGTCGCCGCGTCCGTCCTGCCCTCAGAACAACGGATCTGGCGCGAGGTGGCGGGCAGTGTTCACGGGTCGCTGCTGGTGCTAGCGCTGCTGGCGGCCTCGGTAGACAGCGGCGGGATCTTCACGCAGAAAGACTTGCACGCTTCGAGAAAGCCCCACCACTAAACAATAAGACCCCACATGCGCCTTTCAGCTATACCAAACCCACAGCAAAACCATCAACAACTCCAGTTTCCTCAGTCTCAAAAAATGTGACAGTCACCACCTTGAAACCCACAGCAACGTAACAACATAACACTAGGGGTCTCAACAAATACGACTTCCACCACTTTAAAGTCTACACCTAAAATAACAAGTGTTTCACAAAACAACCTAGATGTCAACATCCATGATGACCGCAACCACAATAGTTCGATGACATCTGTTTCTTCATCAGTAACAATCACAGCAACTATAAACTCTAAAGAAAATAAAGTATCAAAATTTGATATTGGCAGCTTTGTTGGTGGTATTGCATTACTGGGAATTTTATCTATTTACATTGGATGCAAAATGTATTATTCAAAAAGGCATTCAGTTTAGAACCACTGATGAACATGATGCCATCATTTAAGGAAATCCAAGGACCAATGGAATCCAAGGACCTATCAATGAGTTTAAGACAATGTTCTCTTTTTGAAAACAGTATAAACAGGCCATATAATGTACACTATATAAATATAAAGATTTCTCATGATTACTGAAGATAAAAAAAAAAGGTTTGGTTTGAGTTTTTAATGAACATTTGGAGAGTACAGTTAATGCAATGGTTATATTCACTTTTAGAAAATGATATAGTAATACCAACAAGCCCTGTCCCATTTCCTTGTGGCATTGGTCACATAGGGCCAGTAATTGCTTTTCTGTCTCTTTTTTTTTGGGGGGGGAGGGGTATGTTGTTTCCAAACCAAGTACTAAGCTTTAAAACATAAAATATTGATGCTTTCTGAAGAGACACTTAGACTAAAATTATACTTAAGACCTGGTTTACTCATAAAATTCCTGCCGTGTGGCATTAGTAATTAGGATACATCCAGCTCTAAATAGCACAGAAGTTCTTTGTGTGAGCAACAAAGACTAACACATATCCCGAGAGCTGTGACAAGCTGCTTATTTGCATGCCCAGATGGCATGGTGCCCTCCATTAATGATGTCTTCCAGATGTATGTCTAAATATCAGGCAGAATCCAATCAATGATTTTAAAATTGCCTTGCATGATCCATTAAATAAATAATTCAAATACAGATAAATGAGAGTTGGCAATATATTACAGTGATAGTTTTGTATTTTTCAGAAAAAAAATTTAAAGCACATTCCTCTTACTTTTTTTCCCTCTTTATTATAATGACCAGCTTTTGGTATTTCACTGTTACTGAGATCTACTTTTAGAATAAAATTTTGTTCTCCAAGAAAAAAAAAGAAGAGATATAAATAGACACTGAAAATAGCTCTAAGATCTGCACTTTTAATCAACTGCTAATTGGTTACTATGAAGTTAGCAAAACATTGTTACATCTGAGGCAGAAATGTCATCATAATTAGAGTAGTTAGTGGATTACTAAAGTTCTAGATGAGAATCACCATCACTCCTGGCAGCGATGGCTTCAGGAAAAGACACCTGTCCTATCTTACCTAAACTGGCCAACAGCTGTCCTGATGAGAATTCATATAACCCTGCTAATAAGTGAGGACTTAAGGGTTTGGGGGTTTGGGTTTTGGTTTTGGTTTTGCAATCTGGGAACTACACAGGCAAGGACAATAATTTTGTACTTCCCTTTTGGCATCCATATAGAAAGCTTTATGTTCCAGAGGAAAACAATGTGTGTGCAGGCAAAGCAAGTCTGACCTGCATGTAGAACATGTACTAAGTTCAGAAGCTAAATTAATGACTGTTTTTTGGGGACTGGCCAGAGATCCCTTTAGGCCTGAGGCAAATCACGGTGCTCTGTCTTCTCCCTTAAAACCAGGTGAAAATGAACATGGCGAGCAAATTGTAAAGGACAGCTGGCAGTTGGAGGTACAGATACCCAGCCCTGACTCTTGACCTTGGTGATACTTAGGGAAATCCTGAGTGGGTTGATTATTTATTAGGTGAGCCTCATATAGTGGCTCAGCTCTCTGTCCTGTAGCTCTGGGGTCCACACATCATGGACAGGACACAACTGCCTCCATTCCCTAGGGGGATGCTAAATTGATTGTGTTTAACTCACAAGATATCCTCTTTTCTTGCTTTCCTAATCTTCAGGTGTAATGAGATTCATTTGCCACGGTTTTCATTAAAGCAAGGGATGTTGCCAAGACGTTATGTTATGCCTTGGAAAGAAAGCATGATATTCAGGAATATAAATCTGAAGGTATTTTCCTGTAAATGCTTATAATAAAAAAAACCTATACTATTTAATATATCTATGAATTGACATACATAATTATGCAAAAGCTATTTTTAAATTTATTTTGTATTTTTTCCAGCTTTATTGAGGAATAATGGACAAATATAACTGTATATATTTAAAGTGTACAATGTAAGGATTTGATCTACATTGTGGAATGATTACCAAGATCATGATAATTAACACATCCATCACCTCAGTTAACTTTTTCTTTCTTTTGGTGAGAATGCTTAAGATCTATTCTCAGCAACTTTCAAGTATACAGTGCCATATTATTAACTGTGACTACCATGCTGAACAGATCCTCAGAACGTACTCTTCTTTTAACTGAAAGTTTGTACCCTTTTACCTATATCTCCTCATTTCTGTCTCCTCCCAGGCCCCGGCAAATACCTGATAAAACTGTTTGATGCATTTTCACATAAACTTGCAAGCAAAAGTTAAATAGCAACATCTAGTCAAACAACCAAATTATAAACTTAAAAGTTAATACACTGAAAGACTTCAGAATTCTGTCTACCCTTTTCTCCACATACTGCCACTTATAGTTTGGAAGCTCATCAGAAGTAGGGACCATTAATATTAAAACTACAGTACAGAGCATGTATTTCTAAAGTTGTGCTGGAAATCCAGGGTTGAGAGCTATGGGAACAGTTTAACTAGATTTACAGATAAGACTCGCTGCCCAGTCAATACTCCTATTCAGTCAGTAGTTTCAAAACATTTTCCAAATTCAGATTGGCAATTCACCTGGGAAAAGGTAAATTTTTTTCTTTAAAGGAGAATATATTGTAGTAATCAGGTTACAAGAGGAGATTTCAAGTTAGGATTTCTACAAAGAAATGTGTATAACTAATTTGCAAATTTCTAATAGAAAGGCAATTAATGTTGAATAAGAATATACTTAGCCAAGACAGAGATGACATTACAAAATATGAGTATCATATGATATAAGAGTATATCATGAAAATGTGGCTGAATTATTTTCTTATAAAATGCACACATACAATGTAATAAATGAAGCTGCCATTTGCCCTGAGATGATTATTTTGTATGTATTTTTATGTGATGTTTTGATAACAAATATAAAACTGAGGAAATCAAGACTCAATAACAGACTTCAACATCAAATTTATATAGTTATTAAGACTTTCTACAATCATAATATAGGGCCGTATTTCATGTAATTTAGTGGCTTATGAAGTAATTTTCAATGTTCTAAATAGCTCTAGCATGGTAACAATATTAGTACTGATTTTATCTTTTTCATGTATTAGAACTACAGGGTGTAAACTTTGAGTTGAAGTCAATAAAGAAAAACTTTTGAATACATCAAAACATTTTTTATTCTTGAACTTGGTCTTTAGAGCTATAATTCAGCATAATGTTACATAGCTATTTCCCTCTTCTAATTTACTTGACATGTTTCTAACAATTTTTTAAATGTAATTAGTGACTGGTGTAAAGAACATTCTACCTTACAGAGTAAAAATGAAAATTAAATGAGAATTAAATGAAGTAAAGTTACAGAGTAAATGCTAGCTATGCATTCTTTCCTACCTTCTATTTACTTTCACAATTTTTTCCCATAGGAGATGATATAACTGTTTAATAACATAAAAATGAGAACATAGCATTGCAGAGATGGGGCTGCATCCCAAGACCAGGCCAGAATGCTATTCAGCAGAATCAGAGAAGCAGAAATAGACATATACTTAAGACAATAACCTCAGTAACTGTTATTAATCCAGCCATAGCCACAGCACCAGCAGCATACTTTATGTCTATTTAATACTTAGTGGCTGGCAAAAGTTTTTTTCACATATAATATTTTATTCAAAACTCAAAGAATTCTTTAATAATTTCTATTTTATATTTGAGAAAACTGAGTCTCCTGGGGAGTAAATGACTTGTGCAAGGTCACATAAGTAGTGAAATTCAATTTCAACAAACTGACTCCAAGTTTATCTTTATCGTCAGCAATGCATTCTACTCTTCTTGGTGGTCGGAAGACATCAGCTAGAGAGCATTGCTTTTTAAAAAGAAATGTTGCTCTGTTCACTAGACCTTACTTCTTTTTTTTTTTTGAACCTCTCTCTCTTTTTTTTAATTGGGTAATTGGGGGAGGAAACAGCGTTGGGGAATTGGGGAAAGGGGACAAGTTGCTGTCCTTTTTTGTTCTTCAGTCTAGTTGTGGATGATGTTGCTTCACTGGCCCATGTTGGTATTATCATTGAGCTCTTCGAGGCTGAAGCAGATTGGTTGTCGGCCATTGGACAGCCGCTCACGGTGGCTCACGGCAGCCCACTGCAGCCTATGCCGATGCCGGTGACTCACAGCAGCCCAGCTCCAGGACGAGCTGTTGTTCACCATCTTAGCTGTAGAGGGTGCAGTGTCACTGGCCGCATGTGAGATCCAAACCACCAGCCATACTGCTCAGAGTTCGCACTCCCAAGCCAACTCTTAACCAACAAGCCACTGAGGGGGGGCTGGGAGGGGATGGGAGGAGAGCGGTGGTGTGGGGGTGGGCCCTAGACCTTACTTCTTAATGAGGACAGTTAGCAAAACTATTAGACAACTTTCATCTTAATCTAATAAAGTGATGTTTGGGGTCACATACAGCAGATTTTTTTCCCTCCCTCTTAGCATGCAGAAGCGTGTGGAATCTATGCTGGCCCTTTAGAAGACTCTCTGTTTCTGAATCACAGTGAAAGGCTTTGCCATGGGGAAGATCGTAAAGTTGTCTCGAAGAAAGGCCGACCAGAAATAAAAATTGCAGATCTGCCTTTGCATTCACCTCTCTCCAGATACCAGAGCACCATGATTTCCCACGGCTTCAGGAGGCAACAGGTTTGATGAAAGAAGAATAAAGTGATAAAGCATTTCAATATCATCTCTCTTCATTGTACATTTATATTTCACCTACAAGTTCATTTTAAAGGCTATAAGTCAATCACCTACTTTATACATTATAGAAGCATTAGAAAGGAAATAGGCTCAGGGCATCTGAGATGAAGTGGGGGAGCAAGGAAAACTGTCTCACTGAAATTCATTTCACACCAAAAGTTAAGAAACAGCAGACTGATCCAGTCGTACCAGCAAACCCCACCCCACTTCTCTACCTTTCTCTCCTCCTCACTCCGTCTTTATTATTCATCCCCTCCAAAACTCAGTGTCAGATGAGCCAAACTGAAACAGAGTTGCAGGATGTGGAATTATTTTTGCTACTTTTCTGACTGCCCCAAAACACTTCTTTCTGCCCCACCCCACCAACACACACACACACACACACACACACACACACACACACACACACACACACNACACACACACACACACACACACACACACACACACACACACACACACACACCAAGGCTCTGAGCACTAGTAACTAAACAACATGGTAATTAGAAGTGTTTGGCAGACAACTCTATGATACATCATACAATTTTAGTGGAGATGCACTTTCTGTATAGTTCAGTGTATCCAAGTACCAATTTCCTATAGCAAGAACTGATTCATGTAATTTAAAAACATAAAAATGATCATATGCAAAATGGCACACCACTGTGGAAAACAGTATAGTGGTTTCGCAAACATTAAATAGAGAGTCACTTTATGACCCAGCAATTCCACTTCTTGTTATGTGCTCCAAAGGACTGAAAGCAGGGACTCTAACAGATATTCGTACAGCAGGGTTTATACCAGCATATTCACAAATAGCCAAAAGGTGGAAACAATTCAAATGTCCGTCAACAGATGAATGGATAAACAAGGTGGTATATTCATGCAATGAAACAGTCAGCCATTCAATGGAAGGAAGTTCTGATGAATTCTACAACGTGGAAGAACCTTGAAAACATTATACTAAGTGAATAACCAAAACACAAAATGACAAATATGGTATGATTCCATTTACGTGGGATCCTTGAATAGTTAAATTCCTAGAGAAAGAAAGAAAGAATAGTAGTTACCAAGGGCTGCATGCATAGTAGGGAAAATGGGAAGTTATTTTTTAATGGGTTAAGAGTTTCAGTTTGACATGATGAAAATGTTCTGGAGGTGGATGGGTGAACAACAAGGTGAATGTACTTACTACCACTTAATTGTACACTCAAAAAGGGTTAATATGGTAAATTTCATGTTATATATATTTTACCACAATTAAAAAAATAAACCATAGTGGGTCAAAGCTATGCTTTATCTAGCCAAGTGTTCATATCTCATAATAACTCTAAGGAAACTATTATAAAAAAAGATACAGATGTCCATCTCACATCAACTTAAAGGTCAGTAAATAAAGTGTAAATAGTAAAAACTATATATACAGGATGTTAAAAATGATTAAGAAGACTAGGTGATACCAAAAAACTTCATCAAGTGGACAGCCTCCATTTGGAGAACTGCAAAATCGGGTGGAAGGCAAGAAGCTTTTATAAGATAAAGAATAAGAAACAAGGAAGTATGTATTGAGCCCAGAGTTGGTGTGGTGTTTGGGGATTAACTGGACATGCTGCATTTCTGGTCAAGCAAAGCAATTACAGGGACATGAAAGTTATCTAAGTTTTGGTGTGCTGACGTGGCACCCCAGGCAGGAATGTCTCCATCTTGGGCCTATTTATTTCACTAGTGTTCTACTACTGAAAGAGTGGACGAAAAAGGGAACACATACAAACCTGATAAGCTCAGGGGAGGCCAGCATGATGGGCCTTACAAACTGAGACCAAAAGTAACTGCATAGGATTGTCTGAACATAAAAATTCCTAACCAAATGCAGGCCATGGCAGGTAGTCACATCGTAGCCTGTAGCTTCCTTGACAAAGGTCAGTCTTTACCTTAAGTGAGCCTGTCTATTGTCTTTGTGCATCATAAGATAACATACCTTTGAGATGTTGAAGGAATCTTTTCCACATCCCTCAAGGCACAACCACAGAGCCTCTCATTGTTATCTTGTTGCCTGCATACCACCTCTATGTACTGTAAATGTTAACTATCCTGTACCCACCAATGTAAAAGAAAGATGTCTCTCAATTTTGCTTTTAATCCAATCCCAGAGATTTCCTCACTTTGCATTCTCCCACCCCCTTAATTAACCACCAATGAATTTCATGTAACCCTACTTATGTCTCCTCCTTTGATTCTAATGTACATATAAATAAGCTGCAAAACTGCCATTCTCTGAAACACGTTTTCAATTCTTTGAGATTTTGCTTCCCGGCAATTGTTGTCAGTTTGGCTCAAATAAACTCTTAAAAATTCTTTACAGGTTTAGATGTTCCTTAGTCAACAAAAGTAAGGTACTGAAGTCACTATTATTGTTGAATTATCTATTTCTCCCTTCATTTCTGTTAGTTTTTTGTTTCATGCATTTTGGTGTCCTGGTATTAGATGCATATATGGGGGGGCCAAAAAATGTACACAAGTGGACACTTTGGTCAAAGTTACTCAAGCAGTAATTTGCCATAATCAGAAGTGTCTGGAGGAGCCAGCCAAGTGGCTCAGTTGGTTATGAGTTGGCTTGGGAGCATGAGCTCTTAGCAGCAGTGCTGCCAGTTCGGATCCCACATGGGCCAGTGACGCTGTGACCTCTACAGCTAAGATGGTGAACAACAGCTCGACCTGGAGCTGGGCTGCCGTGTGTAGCTGGCAACGGCATAGGCTGCAGCCCCTGCTGCAGTGGGCTGCCATAAGCTACCGTGAGTGGCCGGCATCCAGTGTGAGCTGCCAAGAGCTGCCTTGAGCGGCTGTCCAGAGGCCGGCAACTGATCTGCCTCACCTGGGAGGAGCGCAATGATAATAACAACATGGGCCAGTGAAGCAATGTCCTCCACAACTAGACTGAAGAACAAAAGGACAGCAACTTGTCTGTTCCCCTTCCCTGATTCCCCAACGCTGTTCCCCTCCCCTAATTCCCCAATAAAATCTTAAAAAAAAAAAAAAAAGAAGTGTCTGGACACTGACGGTAACAACTTTGAGTACCTCTTGTAATTGCAAAAGTCAAACATGACTTGTAGTCATCTTTTGTTATCAGTATATATTGAGTATCACAATTTTAATAGTTTTTTTCCTTTCTTAAAATGTGTATACATTTTTTGGCACCCTCTGTTTGTAATTGTTATATCTTCCTGATGAACTAACCTTTTATCATTTTTAAATGTCTCCCTTTATCTCTAGTAACATTTTTTTGTTTTGTTTTAAAGTGTATTTTGTCTGATATTAGTATAGCCCCTCTCTTTCTTGTGGTTATCACTTATGTGATATATGTTCTTCAATTTTTTTACTTTCAACCTATTTTGATCTTTAAATAAAAAATATGTCTCCTGTAGAGAGCATATCATTGGAACTTATCTTTTATCCAGCCTGATAATCTCTGCCTTTTGATTGGATTTTTAAATCCATTTATGTGTAATGTTATTGCTGATATCACTGGATTTATGAATTGTGATCAAACAATACAGTGAATGTTTAAATAAAAAATTTATTACAGTAAAAGACACATTGCATTAATTCCCCTCAAAATACTCCCCCTCGCTTCAAACACACCTACCCCATTGTTCTTGCCACTTTCTGAGTCAGTTCTGAAAGTCCTCTTTTGTGAATGTCTGTAGTTGTGCTGTTGTGGCTGCCTCGATGTCTTGAATTGATTCAAAATGTTTACCTTCCATGGTCATTTTGACTTTGGGAAAGAGCCAGAAGTCACACAGTGCCAGACCCAATGAATAAAGTGGATGAGGACACACCGTAATGTTTTTATTTGACAGAAATTGCCATACCAGAAGCAATGTGTGACACGGAGCCTTTCCATTGTGATAAAAAAATATGGTGAATGCTGCTGCTGAGTGCCATCCAATGAGAAAGCAGGGGGAAGTGGGGCGTTGAAACTTAGTAACAGTTGTGACGAGTTTCAACTTGTTTGGTGCAGTCAGTCAGGTGTGAGCTATGGTTGAGCGAAGGTGTGTTTTAAAGTGTGCCATGAATCATCCTCTTTAATGACAATGCTCTGTGTCACACATCGCTCCTGTTATATGGCAATTTCTGTCAAATAAAAACGTTATGGGGGCCGGCCGAGTGGGCTGGTTAGGAGTTGGCTTGGGACACCAGCTCTGAGCAGCAGGGCTCCAGTTCGGATCCCACATGAAGGCCAGTGATGCTGCACCCTCTACAGCTAAGATGGTGAACAACAGCTTGACCTGGAGCTGGGCTGCTGTGAGTTGCCAGCGACAGCGTAGGCTGCAGTGGGGCTGGCTGGCAGCAGACGTGAGCTTTCGTGAGCTGCCGTGAGCCACCGTCCAATAGCCGGTGAGCAACTGCCTCTCCTGGGAAGAGAGCAATGATAATACCAACATGAGCCAGTGAAGCAATGTCCTCCACAACTAGACTGAAGAACCAAAGGACAGCAACTTGTCTGTTCCCCTTCCCCAATTCCCCAATACTGTTCCCCTCCCCCAATTTCCCAATAAAATCTTTAAAAAACAAAAACAAAAACATTATGGTGTGTCCTCATCCACCTTATTCACTGGATCTGGCACAATGTGACTTTTGGCTCTTGGCCAAAGTCAAAATGACCATAAAAGGTAAATGTTTGAATAGATTCAGGACATCAAGGCAGCCACGACAGTGCAACTAAAGACACTCATGAAAGAGGACTTCCAGAACTGCTTCAGAAAGTGGCAAGAACAATGGGATAAGTGTGTTCAAAGCAAGGGGGAGTATTTTGAGGGGATTAATGGCAATATGACTTTTACTGTAATACTTTAAACACTCGTCATATTGTTTGATCACACTTTGTATAATTACCACTAATTTTTCTGGGGAGCAAGTCTGCAGAGCTCCTCACATTGACATGCTGGAAGTGGAACTCTAAGCTTAGGCTTTTACAAATAGTTCTAAGGAA